AAATACTAAAAAAATGGATGTTGCTGCTTAAATAATAACCAGATTAGCTAAAGCTATACAAGCAAAAAAAAACTGATAAAAAGAGCCTTATCAAAATAAAACTGTTTATAGAAAATGGTACCCAAGATCTACTAGATTGGTCAAATGAGTTTGACTATACTACAAAAGCTAACTATTGTAGTAAAGCTAGACAATTTGAATTGGCTAAAGCATATATAAAAGATATTGCTGATGAATAGGTTTAATGATATATTAATCTTTAACTTATAGCCTATAATGATGATACAAACCAAAATACTAGTTTTAAACTTTTATTTAAAACTAAATTTTGCATCACTCAACAAAAAGCTATATAGTAATAATAATTCTTTAATCTCAAACAAGAAAGTAATTCAATTAATATTTATATTACAAAGTTCAAAAAACTTAACTAAAAAATAAAAGATTTATCTCTAGTATTTATTTGTTAATATTTTATTTAAAAGCTACAATCTAAGTATGTTATATCTGTACAAGCAGCTAGTCTTGATAATATTGATAATATTATGAATGCTGCCAGAAATTAAGAAGCAGAAAAACATATCACTGCTTTAGAAACAGATACTAAAAAAGCAATTATCTAACTTACAGACCAAATTGTTTAATTAAGTATTAATCTTGCTTAGTAAAAGTAATAAAAACTAGCTTATATTGCAAAAACAAGACAGAGCCTATTCAAAAATAATGCTGTTTGTTACTATTGTAGTAAAAAAAAAATATTATATAGCTAACTATTATCAAAAAAAATAAGCAGATCCAGAGATAGAACCAAAAAAGATAAAAACTTAGGTTTTACTACTTATTCTTATTCTATTACTAAAATATAAATATGACAAAAACATCAAATTCTAATTCTAACTTCAAACTATCTAACAATAATTGAGAAAGATTTTTAAACAACTATTCTATTCATATAGCTCTTACAACTATATTATCAAAATAAACTGAGAAAATACTAAACCAACTATTGAAAACAACAACAATATTATCTCTGTTAAATATTTTATAGATTTGAAAAATTATACTTATTCTGTTATTATTAATAGTAGAGCCTCTGTTAGTATAATTGTTTACAAAATTATAAAAGAATTAGAATTAAAAATAGAGAAACTCTCTAGAAGTCTAATTGTAGCTGCTACAGAAACTACCTTTTAATCTCTGAATATTATTAGAAATCTACTTGTTAAAATTCAAAGTAGAACTATTCTTATTAATATAGAAATAGTACTTGCTATTTTATATTTACTACTTTTGAAAAATAATTGGTCTAGAAAAGTTGAAGCTAACTATAACTAAAAAACTCATTAATATATTACAGTCTAGGATTATACGTGATATGGAAATGATTTGCAAATATATTAGAAGGGTATTCTAAAACCCGATTTCAATTGAAAAAACAAAAGCATTTTT